AAATTTTAATTCTGAGCGAAGCGATTAAGCGAAGGATGTATTAGTTTTACAATAATGTTTGTTTCTTTATTTTTTTTTAACTGTGAACAAATTTTCTACCAGAAAACTAGCTCCGATTTTCATGTATACTATCTTTTTTGAAAGAAAAATTTATCTGCGTAGTATTTAAAGAATTTTAATTTATTGATTTTCCAAGAGGTTTTCATAATAATTAGGAATAATCGGGAAAAAACGTAGAGAAAACGGACAAAATGTAAGAAATGTAAGTATTAGTTAAAAATATTATGGGCTTTCTTTTCATGTGGACAACTTTCCTACCAGCAATTTTTCTAAAAGAAAATTTCACTGAGGAGGTACTATAAAGAGGTCGTTTTTCAATTTTCTCCGAAATTTTCCCAGCAAACGTCAAAAACCGGAAAAACATAGGAAAACAAGGAAAAATGTAGGAAAACCGGGAAAATTGATACAACATTAAACAAATAGTATTACAGATCATTAATGTACATTTGTACATTATGATTAATTTTTGCTAACTAAAAACGATTCTGAGTGGAGTTCGAAAGTACATGGTTTGAAAGGCCGTAATATTTACAGTTTGAAAATAATAAAATCGTAAATTGTCCACTTTTTTCCATTTGATTCATTTATTATGAAAACCCCTGGTAAAATCAAAAAATATCAAATTACCACCCCAGTAAAATTTTCTTTTAGAAAACATTCTATACTTGAAATTTGGAGTAACATTTCTAGTAGAATAGTTGTTTATAGAAAAAATAAATAAATATTATAATAAAACCAATTTATTCCGCGCTCTGCACAGAATCTAAAATGTTGTCTTACTGATAATTATATATTTAAAGTTTCATAAAATAATATACCTAAACTATGTGTGCTATATAAGTGTTTTAATAAATTTCTAAGCCTATAGTAGTAGTTATGCTTTAAGAAATTAAGTAAAAATCGTACAATATAAAGCAAAATAATACACGGCGGTGTGTAGTAGTGTTCTATTCACAATAGTTTAATAAAGAATTTATTATCGATAGTTAAAATGGTATCCGATTATAACCATACAAATTAACTAAAAACACTGTCGTTTATATCAGCGTTTATAAGCTTTTGGGTCACAAATAATTTTGTTCGGCGCTCTCAAAAATTAAATTTAATACTTATATACTATTATAACATAATTATATGACTCTGTCTTGACATCAAACAATGATAATATTATCATACATACGAGCAAAAACTTTTTCACCGGGGATACTAGTACTATTGAAAAAAAACTAAATAGTGCATTACTTAAATATAACCATTCCATAACTTTTAATATCCGGTATAAATAACTCGTCTCAAAAGGATATGAATCATGATTCGTTTTAATACATGTATGTACATATAATTATGTGTATACCGACTATACGTAATTTAATACATGAAAAATAAAATGTCAGCATATGCGTGTACAAATATAGTTTTAACTTTTAAATTTATAGATAACTTAAGAAGTTGTTAACCATCTATAATGAAATGTATCTAATATTGCCCTCCCAATATTGAAAAAATGTTAAAATGTTATCAGAATAACCAAAAATCATATTTAAGAGAATTGTTGAAATAAGTTTTAATTTAAGCAAATAAATATATAAACTAAGCTCAGAGCACACAGCATATGATTGCATTCTCGGTATTCCTTGTATACGAAATATTATAATATACGGTACATACAAAATCCCAATCTTTTTTTTTGGATATCCCATGTCTCGAAAAATGTGTGTGCAGGTTAGTACCCCTAGCATTTACCTTTAAAAATAAGCCATTTGATTGGGCCAATTGGATGTTGAGCTAAATCCTAACACCTACACTAGTTTCCCCAGGTTGTCATGTATATAAAATACTGTGGGAGAAAGGGAAATCATACTGCACTATAAATATCATTGTACATATTTTGGTTTATACTTTTGAAAACGACGACTATCACATGGTATTATATATAAATAATCGGAAACTTTTGGTGTCTTGTGCAGTATTTTACGTTAAAATAGTTTAAAAAATATGATTTAAAATCGGTGTTGTAGCTGCGTATTATAGAAAACACGGTGGGATAGGTTGCTACACGCTTTTTCCCCAGGCAAAATGCCTTTTCGTATCGTTTTCCGTTTTATATTTACATAATTATAAGTTCTCGATCATTGACCATTTATTTGTTTTTGATAATTAACAAAGATTTTTTTTTTCATAAAATATATTCTGTAAAGACCTTTCAAATATCCGATTGTTCTTGGGATTGTTTTTTACTATTTTTTTTTTTTTAGTGCCTTGAACGAAAGATTTAAAATAAGCTTCCGTCGTAGCGATGCTCGAGACAGATTCGTTTGAATTTAATCGGACAAAACGTAGTGCAGTTTAATAATTTAAAAGGTTGTTCGGCGAAAAAATCAGCAACAAGTGAATTAATTAAAGCATTAAACGGTGTTAAAAGTCGACTTCTTCAAGGCAGGTGGTACTATAAGTACAGACAGGCAGGTACTATAAAGTACTTGAGTGTAATTTATGAATTTATGAAAAATAATTATTGAAAATGCAATTGAACAGTTATTATAAATTATAATATATGTTGGTACTTATCCACTAATAGTAATTTATCAAGTCAGTTTTAATTTCGTTTTTACTGATCGAATAATAATTCTTAGTATCTCCTATATATAAATAATATATCTTTAATAATACATTTTTTTAGATCGTAATTCATATAGATATTTATTAGAAACAAATACATAGGTCAAAAATTTAATTAATTTAATTATATTATTTCGGAATTATATTTGTTCATTGCATTTAAGACAAACAATATTATCAGGTATAATATAAAATAATTATTAATTTATATCAACGGAATTTTTTTATACTTGTAAAAAAAAATATATAAATAGAAATACAATATAGGATTAAATACTTCGTGACAATGTTCGGGTTTATATGTAAAATACCTACTTATTTGTTTTTTGTTTTCGATAAAATACTGTAAAACTTCCATACAACGGTCACCGAAGGCACCGGAAATAATATAAATAATGACCTCTAAATAGAGAGGTGGCCATCCTATAGAGGTATTCTATAATACTTAACATAACACTTGATAAAACCAAAAAAAATCATCGTTACATAGAGGTGACCGTTTACGGAAGTTTTACTGTTGTACCAAACGAAAATCAACAACCTGTACAATTATATGCAATAATTGAAAATAATTTATGGTTGGGGTATATCAAAATAAATTCTCATGGTATTCTCGTGGAAGGTTAATCTTTTAATACTTAAGCCATTTTCTATAATTACTGACATTTCCTATTAAATGTCGCGACCGCGTTTTAAAATTCGCGACGTCCGAATCGCGTAGTGTGTAACCAGCTTAAAGTGAGATTTGCCGTTTATATTAACATCAAATATCAAAAATATTACTTAACTAGTACAATAATAATCTACGAATATTTTGGTACCTAATTATACAATTAAACATTTAACATTTTTTAATTTCGTGTTAATTATGAAAATTTGCATTTGAACTTCCAATTTGTGTAAAACAACAATATACTAAATAAATATGAATCACGGGGGGATCTACTCCCATATTTCTCTGTAAATAAATCCCTGTATCAATGACCCAGAGGGGAAGAGGCATTGAATAAACAATCATTAAGTTTATCGAGAACAAAGAGGAAAAAAGTTTCCATGAAAAATGTACGAATTATAAATACAAGATTTATTTTTTTTTATCAACGCAAACCAACAACAATTAACTGGGCGATGTTAAGCAGAGGTTCTTCTCTTGCTATAAATTTAATAATAGCTGTTAATATTCTGCGCAATTACACTATATTATATTTATAGCTTTCTCGGCCAACCTTTTTATTTTAATGATCCCCAGTGGCGCTATTAGTTCATAAACCTTGAGAGAGTGAGCTTAAGTCTCACTGTTATATTAAGTAAATATGATTGCTAGGCCTCTAACTCTATAATGAGGGGGTTTCAGATAAACCTAGAAAGCTAAGCTCTCCTAGTATCTCAAATTGATTCCTTGAATTCCAAGTTATAATTTTCATTGTTGTTATCATTATTATAACTAGTATCACTATCAATATGCATTGTTATTATTATTATTCATTAAGATTAATACCTAAAAACCAGAACTAATTACAAGCAGCTGGAAAATACACCAGAGTTCATATTAAAGTCAAGAAATTCGATATGGAACAAAATCAGAGAGCTAATTCAGACACAATTCTGTAGTGCGAAAAAATGTCAAGAGGAGTAGGTATGTTAGATACAACGGTATAAGGAACTGGTTAATAACTTCTAGTCGAACTCCCACGTCAGAAATGGACAATCCTTAACCGAATTATATAATCGAAAATAGAAGAAATAGGCATAATATGATGTAAAAGTAGACATTAAAGCACAGGTCGGAATGTGATTGCTGGAATGACAATCAGATAATGAGGCATATTTCTGACGAGGAGTTTGGAAACAAAAACAAGTGGTACAAAAGCAATATATTTATTTTCAATATTTTAATATAAAAAGTAATATTATTGGTTAGTTCAACATACAGAGATTTTCCGAAAAGTAATGTCAGTTATTTAATTTTAAAATAACTATTTGTCGTAGCGCGAATTTAGCTATACGACCACGCTGCACGCAGTCGCCAATGGTCTCCGACTATTTGACGAGCGACAACGTGTTTTCCGTTGTACTAGTTCTCGTCTTCTGTGCAAGCCACACTTCGGCGTTCGATAGAGCGAAGATTTGTCATCAAGTTATGTGTGAAAATTGGCAAGTCTCCAAAGAAAACTTTCTGTATGATAAAGACAGCATTTGTTGATGATTCCTTAACAGAACGTCAAGTTTTTCGGTGACACAAGGCCTTTTTAGATGGCCGTCAAGAGGTCAGCGATGAAGTCCGCGTCAGACGGCCATTAACAACCACCATCGACGAAAATATGGAGCGTGTGACAGAACTTTTGAACCCAAAAAGTGCCGTTTACGAGATCGCGATGAACAGTTTGCATATGCGAAAAGTGTGCGCAAAACTGGTACCCAAAGTGACACAATTTCTAGCTGATTCAAAGATTCCAACGATTCCCCAGCCACTTTACAGTCCTGACTTGGCTTCCATAGACTTTATCCTGTTCCCTTGTTTGAAAATTCCAATGAAAGGTAATCATTTTGGAACCGTTGACAAAATCAATGATGCATGGACCAGAACTCTGAAAAACATTCTAAAAGAGGCCTACCGTGTCGCCTTTGATGCATGGAAATCTATGTAACGCAAGAGGATCATATTTTGTAACTTTTTAATTTACTATACCGATATGATATTTATATTTTTTTTAATCATCTTACTGGCATAACTTTTCGAACAAATCCAAAAATTTATATTATTGGTTAGTATTACAATAATATTATATAGTACTATATAATAGTTAGTAGGTACCTACACTATATTTCAATACCATTGACTATATTATATAATATTCAATGATAATATTTTAAATGTTTTCACAAAAATAATTATTGGAGCAAGTTATCGAAATCTGCAGTCTACAATCAAAAGTAACAAACATGACTACTATTATAGTGTAAGTACAAAATATATAAAAATCAACTTAAAATAAACATGCAACTATAAACATTAATAATAGTTGTTTAAATATGTTTGTCTCAAAATATGAACAGTTGGAAAAAGAAATTTGGATTTATACGAGTATGAATTATAATTTATAATTATCTATTTTTAAAAATCAGTAAGTATATTATATTATTATTATTATTATGTACATTAAATCATGCATAAAAACAATAATACAAAATATGTATTAAATTTAAAAAAAAAATACATGATATATATCTATACACATGGATATAACAAATTAAGTGTAAAAAATACGCCCTAGGATAATAGATATTAGTGTAGTAATAGTGCATAATAGGTAGTTTAATAATTTTTTACTCAAACGATTTTGGTCAAAATTTGATATTAAAATTCCCTTATAAAAAAAAATACTATATTAAACTATATTTTAATGAAATTTTCAAGCATTTCTGTTCAAGCCTTACAATGTTACCACAGAGTACCTACCGAATAAATATAACATACAAAACTCTCAAAATTAAAATGTCCATAAATACCTCAAACACGGTTTTAACATATGTTTTTTCCTGATTTTTCTCAGATATTATGAAAAACGCTTGGAAAATCAAAAAAGGACCCTCCAAAATTACCATCTGGACAATATTCCCTTTTGGAAATGGTGTTGCGCGTATGTATCTGAGCAAGATGTCTGGTAGAATCTTTGTACACCGTATAATAAAATAAAAAAAAATAATAATAAACCTCTTAGTGAAACCAATACATTCTTCGTTACACTTAGAATCTAAAAATATGTAGGTACCTATAAAAAAAATATTTATTCAAAATGTTTAATATGATATATTACAACGTTTAATAAAGTTTCGATATGATTATAATAGAGAATTTTTGTTACTTCACAACCGGCGTCCGGCGTATGGTATATTTGTACTTAGTATACTATAGTTTTATTGCTGATATTTTTATCTTCATTTGTTGATATTTATATATTTTGTATTTACACTATAATAGTAGTTATTTTGTTACATTCGATTTCAATTATAGACTGCAGATTTCGATAACTTGCTCCGATAATGATTTTTGTGAAAATGTCTAATATATTATCATTGAATAAATTATAATTATAAAGTCAATAGTATTAAAACATTATGTTGGTACTACGGTACCATAAATGGAGTATGGTACTTTATAATATTATGTAATACCAATCATTCCCCTTTTATATTATAATGTGTAAAATAAATATAATGCCGTTTTTACCACTTGTTTTTTTTCATTTGCTTTTTTTATTTGCTTTATTTTTCCTAAAATCTACTGACGAATAACTAAATAGAAGGTTCGCGCTGGACATCAATAGTATCAATGAAGGTATAAAGGAAGCTATCGGGTGGATAAAGTCCTTGGACGTAGAAATTTAAAATTTTAATTTGATCACATACTATACGTAATTTATTATTATTAATCCTGCTTATAATTTTATTTATATGTTAAAAGATACTCTGTTATTTTGTTGTTATATTACCGTTCGAATACATATAACACATAATATTTATTTATATATATATATATTATTACTAGTTGTCCCGCACCGAGGAATACACGAATAAAAAATCGGACATATCGGTCCGTCCGTTTTCAAGTTATGGCGCCTGCGAAAAAATATCAATTCATTTATACATACTTACATAATATAATTGTGCGTATTTGCCGATATATTCAAATTTATATTTTAAAAAACTTGATTGTGTCACTCTCTTGGCACTCTCTGATGAATCTTTATTTATTAATTTTCTATCTGAATGAACATTTAAATTTTGGGACAACTTACGCAGAATATCTTACTAATTATTCATTTTTTTGTTTTTTAATTTCATCCGTATCACCAAGGTAACCCATAAATCACCAAAAAAAAAAAAAACCGCTGTACTAAAAATAACAATTACTCTATGTCAGCTACCCTTGCAATGCCACCTATCGAGTCCAATTGTGAATCTAAACCATCTAGGGACCCATTTAAACACACATAAAACATTTCGTCAAAATCAGTCCAGCCGTTTAGGAGGAGTTTAGTGACATACACACGTACAGTAGAATTATATATATAAAGATAAAGATATAAATCTATTTATTATTTTTAATCTTCTTGACTGTCATTTATATTTTAATGATTCCTTTATTTTCTTGCTATAATTTTTATTGTTGTGAACATTTTTCTAGAATGAGGGGGGGGTTTGTATATAAAAAATATAATTTTGAGAGTAACTGTACTTGATCATTGTGACAACAGAGTTTTCCGTGAAAAATACAGACAGCCTCCAAAAAATGTCGAGGATTACAAAATGTACACTATTAATTAAAAAAGAAAATAGTGTCACTACTGTCGTGATAATTGCGGAGCAACGAGTGTAAGCCATAGTTAAATTAAAAAAAAAAAAGATAAAAGACATACTTTTCACTATGCAAAGTCACTGTTTATGAAAATATTGGGAATATAATATGGTTAATTGAATTAATTGATAATTAAACGATAGTTTATTTCTGTATGCTAACAATAAATCATTTAAAACGAGAAATATTCTGAAAAGTTCAAGTAAACGAGTTTTGACAGATTAAAATAAATAAACTGTATTAATCTGTAGCTATATAAAAGTTGTATTTGTTATTAAAAATTATGAAGCTAAAAAATAAACATGAAATGACCTATTCAATACAATGTATAGATAAACATTGCTAATAAAAACCACATCTACGATGTTGAGAACTGGAGAAAAATTCCTCACGGATAAAAAATAAATTTATATCTTACACCATAGCAAAACCAATACATTATTTGTTATACCAATATTCGAAACTTTCGATAGAAGTTTTGTTTTGAATTTAGAAAGATTCGTCTTATTTTATTACTTTACATATTACGTGAGTATTTGAAATTGCATAAAAGTCGTTGACCTTTCATTCCCATTCGGATTAATATCCGTTTCGAGCTTTTTAATTAAACGAAAATAGAAAAACAATTTTTTTTTGCCTCAAAACGAAACGAATTAGATTATTTTCTCGTATAAAAAATAATTCTTTGTGCGATTTTTAATGATTCTGAATAAACTAATTAAAATTATTATTATAATTAATGATACTTAGGTAAGGTGTACAAAATATCCGCTCCAAAAAATAATTTAAAAATACCTCTCTTTATATTCTAAAAAATAAAGGTTCATTAGTACTATTGTTAATCCGAGAAAAAAAACGATGAACGAAAAAAATAATTATTTAAAATACCGACCCGACAATTTTTCGTTAAGTATTAATATCTCGTTTTTTGTGTCGAATTCTTTACGAATACCTGTATGAAATAAAATTAATATATTTATCTATTTTATGCTATTTTTTCGGTACGATGATGTTTTTTTTTAAGCATTAATCGTTCTTTCAAATACGGATCTTCCAGATAAAACTAGATGATGCGATTTTATATTGGCATTTGTTATAGTATCAAGAATATACATGTCTGGGGGTATTTATTTTCAACCTCCAATTTAACCGTTTAATTTTTACATAAAATACCTTGTTTTTAAAACCCCCAAATACAATATTCAAATTAAAATGAGACTACACTTGCATTTGTTGTGTCTGTCTTATAAATGCACGAAATTTAAAATTTGAACTCAATAGAACTAATTTGTGATGTTAGATTAAAAATTAAAATTGAGTAAAATTAATAGAAATTAAAAAAAATGAGAAAAATTATAGAAATAATAAATATAATGTTATTTTTAAACTATTTGTACAAATACTGTTCTAAAAATGTCATATTATAACTATGCAGTTTTAGTCCATTTGTCCCACAATGAAATAACAATAGTATTAGTTTTTTAAACAGTCCGATTTTGCACTTACTCCTTGGTACGGGACAAGTGCGACATTTATTTTTTTATATGTATATTTTTAATTGTAAAAATGTTTTAAAACAAATTTACTCAATTTTTAAATTATATTTAAATAAAGCATCTCCATAGTATTATATTTCAATGGTCGTTATAATTTAAAGTTAAATATTTCGCGAGAAATCAACAGTTCAAGTTGAACTTTTAAAAATCGCGTCACCTTACTGCGATACCAAAAGGTCAAAAGAATACGACTACATAACACGTTTTCAAATTGTCGGTTAAAACCATGAACACGTGACTTACGAAAGCTGAAAAGCAGTGAATAATTATTTTCATTTCGTTTTTGTGTAACGTGATTACTGTATAATAGTATTATAGACAGTGAGAAAAAAAAATTGTATTCATTTCCCAAATTCCAGAGGGTTTTTGTTTTGAAATGCGATTAAAAACAAGAAACAAAAAACTGTAGTCTGTAGATAAATTGAACATGAATAACAAATTCGAATGATGAAAATGACAAAGTACAGCTTTTAAAAATTAAAAATAAATTATCAAACTTTTAATAGCATACATCGAGAGCCCATGATAGTCTAAACGGTATAGCTTCAGTAAAATATACCGATTTTTTTTTTAGCCTCTCAAAGAAACACCGGCCCTCTTGTTTGATTCCTATAATATAACACAATGCGTGCATTACCGAAGCCTCGGTTTTACTACCCATGCATACTAAGTGCAATAAAAGTGCATAAATGCATAGAGGAACGTATGCATATTGTATAATTTATAAAAAAAA